TGAATGGTCTTTTACTAACAAAGAGTGACTGGGGACTTATGTTTAGAGGTCTGTAGCAGAGAAAGAAGAAGGGATTTGGCAGAATTGGAGCCAGCAATTAGAGAAGAAAAAAGTCATTTCATAATTTTTGCCCTTCTGAGTTAGGTCTATACAATAAGTCAATCACATTAGTTTAAAAAGGAGAACAATGAGGTTAAGTGAAGGAAGTTTAAGAAAAATGTGTTCAAAGATGACATTTACCTTAAAATCATAAATGTTGCATGGAAGGCAACACTTTCCTTTAAAAAAAGAAAAATTAAAAAGAGGCAGCATGGTTCATTGTCTAAGAATCTAGATGCTATGGCCAGACTCTTTGGGTTCATATTTAGGATCATAGATTTTTAGATGTGTGACACTGGGCAAAAAATTTAGTCTTTGTTACTCTATTCTCTGATTTTGAAAAATTAGGAAATTAGTAGTGCCCACTTCACAGAGGTGCTGTAAAGATATTTAATGGGCATATGTAATTCACTGGCCTATATTAATCATTAAGCAAATGTGAAGAATCTTTTCTTTAAAAAAATGCACTCAAAAAATCTATAATTTCTTGTGTGCCATTCTGTGTTAGTTATTGTGGGCAAAGCACTGCACAAAATGCCTTCAAGAATTAACAGTGAAGATTGACAATATAAATGCAAGAATGTAAACAAACAATTCAGGCAAGGACAGGTGCTGTAAATGAAACAAAGCAAGATAATGTAATAGGGAGTGGCTTGCTGGAGGTCACACTGTATATGGAAAGAAAATAACAGCTTTGAATAACTGGCTGGATTTGCTGATATAACATATTTTTTCTTTCTTTTTTTTATTTCAGCATATTATGGGGGTACAGATTTTAAGGTTTCAATAAATGCCCTTTCCCCTCTCCCCCCACAAGCCTGAGTTTCCAGCATGACCATCCCCTAGATGGTGCACATCTCACTCAGATATAAACATATTAAAGTGGCAAAAAAAAATGAAAGATCAGGGAGCACTCTCAGTTTTGACATAAACTACTGGATAGACATTAGTGAGTGTGGTAGAATGAATAATGACCACCTCCCAATCTATCCATGTTCCTAAAAGATAGATATCATACAAAATTTGTCTCTGACCACATAGCGATGAAGTTAGAATCAATAACAGAAGAAAAACTGGAAATTTCACAGATTTATGGAAATTAAACAGGATGCTCTTAAAGAGCCAATGAATCAATGAAAAAAAATCACAAGGGAAATTAAAAGGTATCTGGAAACAAATGAAAATGAAAACTGAACATACCAAAACTTATGGTAAACAGAAAAAATAGCTCTAAGAGGGAAATATAAGCTGTATAAACTCTTACATTAAAAAACAAGAAAGTGGCGGGGCACAGTGGCTCACACCTGTAATTCCAGCACTTTGGGAGGCCAAGGTCATAGGATTGCTTGAGGCCAGGGGTTCAAAACCAGCCTGAGCAACATAGTGTGACCCTATCTCTATGGAAAATAAAATTTAAAAAATAGCCAGTCATGGTTGAATGATTGTGCATGTTTGTAGCCCCAGCTACTTATGATGATACCACTAAACTCTAGCCTGGGTAACAATATGAGACCTTGTTTCTAAAAGAAAAAGAAAGAAAAAAAAGGAAAGACTTCAAATAAACAACTTAACTTTAGAACTGAAGGAACTGTAAAGAGAAGAACAAATTTAATCCAAAACTAACAGAAGGAAAAGTGTAATCAATATTAGAACAGAGAGAAAAACAGAATAGAAAAACAATAGGGAAACATCAACAAAACCAAAAGCTGGTTCTTGGAAGAGATTAACAAAAATGACAAATCTTTAGTTAGACTGACTAAGGAAAAAAAAAAGAGAAGACTTAAATTACCAAAATCAGAAATGAAAGTGGGAACATTATAACCAATGCTACAGAGATAAAAAGCACTATAGGGTACTATAAACAACTGTATGACAACAAATTGAATAAACTAAATGAAATGGGCAAATTCCCAGAAATACAAAACCTACCAAGAATAAATCATGAAGAAACAGAAGTCCTACACAGACCTATAATTGGTGAGGGGATTTAATCAATAATCAAAAATCAAAAGATAAGTCCTGGACCTCGTGGATTTTTATATATGGTATTAGATAAGCATACAATTTCATTTTTCTGTATATAGACAATCAGTTTTCCAAGTACCATTCAATAAAAATACTGTCCTTTCTCCACTGAATGAATAGTCTTGGAACCCTTGCTGAGAATTGTTTAACCATATATGTAAGGGTGGATTTCTGGGCTTTCTAGTCTATTACACTAATCTATATGTCTGTTTTTAGGTGAGTACTATACTGTCTTGATTACTGTAGCTTTGTGTAAGTTTTGAAATTAGAAGTATGAGTGCTCCATCTTTTCCTTCTTTTTCACGATTGGTTTGACTATTCAGGGGCACTTGATATTCTATATGAATGTTATGATGGATTTTTGTATTTCTTCAGAAGGTGTCGTTGAGATGTAAATGTACTCAATGCCACTGAACTTGTTAAACTTTACACTTAAAACAGTTAAGATGGTAAATTTTATGTTATATGTATTTTACTGCAATGAACATGTTGTTAATGGGGGAAAATAAATATCCATGTCTTATCCCTGGAACCTATAAATGCTACTGACATGGACTGAATATCTGTGTCCCCACTAAATTCATACATTGAAATTTTAACCCTCAAGGAAATGTTGTTATTAATAGAAGGTGGAGCCTTTTGAGAGGTGATTTGGTCATGGGATTCGTGCCCCTAGAAAGGAGACCCCAGATAACTAACTAGTCCTTTCTATCATGTGAGGACACAGTGAAAAGTTGCCAAACAAGGAATTAAGAAAGGGACCCTCACCAGGCACAGAATCTGTTAGCACCTTGATCTTGGACTTCCCAGCTTCCAGAACATTGAGAAATAAATTCTGTTGTTTATAAGCTTCCTAGTCCATGGTATTTCCATAGCAGCCTGAAGGAACTAAGATAACTACCTTCTATGGCACATTAAAAAAAAGGCTTTGGAGATATTAAAGATCTTAATGGGAAGATTATCCTGGATAATCCAAGTGGACCCTAAATGCAATTACATGTATCCTTCTAAGAGGAAAGAAGAGGGAGATTTGAACACAGAAGAAAAACATATGACAATGAGACCATAAAGGCAGATATTGGAGTGATAAGGCCATAAGCGAAGAAATGCTGGCAGCCACCAGAGCTGGAAGAGACAAGAAATGGATGTTTCCCTAGAGTCTCCAGAGATATTGCTTCATGGAAGACACTTTGATATTTGCTCCAATGAAACTGATTTTGGACTTCTGCCCTTCAGCACTATGAGACAATACATTTCTATTGTTTTAAGGAACCAAGTTTTCAGTAATTATTATAGCAGTCCTAGGGCACTAATACAGTGACATTCATTGTATTGCAATGAGGAAAATTAAGGTAAGAACACGTTTCAGCATGAGGTCAAAATCAAAGTTTTGATTTAGACTATTGATTTTGGACTTATTATTTCTGAGGTACCTATGAGATGCCTGATAATTTACATCAAATAAACATGTAAAGCAATAGAGTTAAATGTGATTCCCTAGGGAGGGAGTACAGCAGAGAGGAGAGCAGGGCCTGTTAGTAAATGCCCGTCAATAAATTAGATGGTTCGTTTTGCTACATGCCAGGTTACTAAAACTCATAGTATAATCTAGAACCTTGTAAAATTGTGAAAATTTCATTTGCAGCATTTAAGTTCCTTTCCAGCTTGGAAAAAAGAACACGTACACCCAAGTATAATAGCCAACTATCAGCTACTGAATGAAAGCATGACATTGTCTAGATGATGCCCAGTGTCTCCAAACAGTGTGTATTAGGAATTTAATCTGAATTTGCTAATCATGGATGATGTACTTGCACTTAATATGTATTTAAAAGCCATAGTAGGTAAAAATAGATCATAGATATATATTGGTAAGAACAAACTGATGAATGATAAAGAATTTCTTTTACTGTCCCTGTCCTCAATGAAAACAAAAAATCAATCTGAGTGGAGACCACACATTTTTGATATTGCAGAGTAGAAACAATCTTGTAAGATGGGTTGTTTACCATGTACAAAGGATTTCCCTATTAGGACATTATTGCTTATTTGAGAAAGAATAATGAGGACATTATTTTTGTTAAGAAAATAAAAGCCTTGAGAGCTTTTTAAAAGATAATATAAACACAATGTTATAATTCTGGAAAATTATTTAGTCTTCTACATGACCTAATCGTATCAGATCTCTCTGTGGATGCCATAACTATAAAAGTCCACTTCACATGACTTAATTAGATTGAAAGTTTAATACACAAGCAAGTGCATTTGCCAAATGAGTATTTTCTTTCATATATTCAAAAGTTATTAATTGATCCAATTCAAATATTAAATAACTATTTATAGTCCTTTTCACAAGCAATATTTAAAAATACTTTCTTGAATACGTCAGTTTTCCTAAAATGGAGCATGAAAGAGAATCCATTTTCACTTAAAGATCATGTCCTTTTAAAATGTAGAAAACATTTTCTTGAATCCCACAGTTTTCCTAATTCTAAAACAGTCATTATGGATATATACACATATATGAATATATACATGCAATTAATATGTAGATGTGTATATGTATGTATGTATAATATGTGAAATAAATACATCTATGAAATATATTACACATGGATAGAAATACGAAATAAAACATACCCAAACCATACCCAAACCATTTAATGAGTTCTTTGTTATCATGGACTCACATGTGAAAGCAATTCATACCCTTCAAAAACATATAGACTTTTGCTCCTGGGAAGTCCCTGGGAGAGAAGGAAAGAAATTCCTATTTGATAAAGACCAGGGGTGCTTCCTGGGAAGTTCAAACATGAACCTAGAAACTGACTTCGCAGTCATCACAGAACTGTCAGGGCAGGGAGTTGGGCTCGTACTTGGATCAGCTCTGTGTCTGTAACACAGGTTACCTAAATAGCTATGTGCTGGCTTTTCCTCCACGACTTTGATTCTTCTTGCTCCAGCAGGTATCACCAGGACTTCTACGTAACCTGTAAAGAGTCAATAAAACATGAAATAAATCCTGAGGTCTTATACAATCTCTTTTCTTAATTGACTTGCCTTTTCCCCCTTTTGGTTTTTGTTCTTGCTGTGATATTTTGATACCTATGTAAAGAAAAGTTTTTATATATAAAAGCTGCCATGATTTCAAGTGAAGACATTTATTGGAAAGATGTTGAGCCTATATTGCTATTAAGGACAAATAGGCAATTGTATTTTATTACAAAAAGCTCACTGTTGCTGATACCTTATGAAATGTGAGGAGAGAAAAAGCCCAATAGAACAGCCTGGTTAAAATGCAGTGGATCTTGGAAGAGAGAAAATGACCTCAGATTTTGCTCTGGGAACTCCTTTTGGTAAGAAAGTGTAGAGAAAAAGAACACAGAGCTGGAGAGAAGATAGCTGGCCTGACCCGGTCCCTGGAGTAGCTACGTGTAGGACAGAGAGACTAGGCATTCCCTGGAGGAGATTAATAGACACTTTTGAAACTGAAGCTGGAGACAGTAAGTTTAAGGCCACACCAAGCAATGAACTGTCACCTCCAAGGTATAGACAGTTGGATGCAAGACAGAAATGCAAGGTGCTTCTCAGGAAAGATTTTTCAGCAGAGGTAAGGGATGTAATGCTTGACGTGAAATAAAATGATAAGGTAAAGTGGCATAAGAAGAATGAATGTGCAGAAAAAGTCAGAATCAAGATTTCACTTAGGGTAGAATAATGATAGATGCCTATTTTTGGATAAATGGTTAAGTTATAAAATAATACTTAATATTCCACTTAGTATTTCTGTGCAGATCCATGTCTCTGATAAAAATCTAATTTTAAAGCCTTAAAAAAGTATAAGAGCTAATTCCAGAGTTGTCTACTGTTTATTAATTATTCAAATTCCTGAAAATGTTTATAGTTATTTGGCATATAATGAAAGGTAGTATATACCCCACCTGGTGGCTGTGGCTGGAATTAGAGGCATGTGTTTTTAGAATCATAATTTCCATTCAAGAACCCCGCTTAAATAATCAACCATTGAATACCACGTGTTCAGTAACACCAAACATGAAAGCCCTATCACTCTGTTACGTGGGCAAAATAGGTAACAATGAAAATAGAAACAAATGCTTACTGGCTATTTGTACACAGAGTAAGTAAGGTAAGATGATCTCTGCTCTAGACAAGGCTTAAATCCTTATGTAAGGAAGAGCTAAATGAAACTGCAAAAATTATATGAAAACGATAATATGCAAAATGATATGATTAATTCCCTGCTAAAGAATATAAGGCAAAGTTGTTTAAGCTACCTGCTGCTTTGATCACATAAGCACTCAAAGATCCACTGCTATTTTTACTCAGAGGTGGGGTTTTCTTCCTGTTAACTGGTGATATAGTTACTCACATTTCAGAAATACGGGCATCAGCCAGAATCATTATGATTCCGAGGAGAGAACAGTTCATGTTAAGTTTTTAAAAAGTTTCACAAAGAAGTAAATAGATGAACTATCTTTAGAGAATGTGTAGAATTCAGATATATAGGAAAAGGATAAGTTCACTGCATGTGAAGAAGAGTAAGAGATACACAGTGTTTCTGGTTGCGCTGGAATAGAATGATTCTGATGAAATGAGAAGACGTAAGAAGGTGACACTATTAAAGAGAGTTGAAATGAAAGCTTGAAGCTACTGAACATTCTCCAGCGAGGATGGCACTTAGATGCTGGTGGAGAAGCCGTGTCTCACAGCAATGTGCAGGACAAGCGGTGACAGAGCTGCGGGTGACAGTGTGAGGAGGCAAAGGCTGAAATGCAGGAGTGGGAAAGGCTAAGGGAGAAAATGCAGAAAGCACTGTGAAAATAAAAACGTCAGAATTTGGTAATTAATAGGAAGTGGGGAAATAGACATTGAACATAATGCTTTATTATTACTAATGTGAGAATGGGGCCATCATTTACAGGAACATGGAAGCCACGAATGGAATCATCTAGTTTGGTAATAATTTGATAGGGTTAGCTTTGCAATTTATATCTAACTAAATGGTACAACACATTAGTAAAAACACTGAGTAAGAGTTCTGGAACATCTGAAACTCTAGAGAAAGTTCTGGCTCTTGATGTACCTTTGCAAGGCATCCTTGCAGAAGCAGTCATTTAAACTGTAGTAAGTGGACAAAATTGAGAGAGAAATCAAGTACTCGACCTTGGTGGCACGGTTTTAAACAAAGAGATTGAAAACAAATCAGGAAATAAGACAGAGAAGAAATAATCATGGGAAGGAAAAGATCTAGTCTGATTTGGGTAGTGGGACCCTGTGGATAAGAATATCTCAGAAAGAGTTGCTGGTCAACTTGTCGCAAGCTGTGCATCAAAGCTGAGACATCAAAGAGAAAGGTGACTGATGAGAATCCATTGGATGTCACTGTAAAGAGGTGACTGTTAATCTCTGAGAAAATAAATTTCATAAAAAAGTGTTTGGAGAAGATGTTAAATTTCAGTATGTTAAAGATGAAGAGTAGATAGAACAAAGCAGAGGTAGTATGTGTAAATTCCTGTTTAACAGCATACTCAGAGGTATGTTGTACATTAGAACAATAGTTATATCTAAGTTTATGGTTATATTTACAGCAATTCTCTATTATTGAGTTGGAATGGCTTAGAGGAAGGTGAGTTAGACTGATTTTAAAGAAGAAAGAAAACCAGCCTGAGCAAGAGCAAGACCCCATCTCTACTGTAAATAGAAATAAATTAATTGGACAACTAATATATATAGAAAATATTAGCCGGGCATGGTGGTGCATGCCTGTAGTCCCGGCTACTCGGGAGGCTGAGGCAGGAGGATTGCTTGAGCCCAGGAGTTGGAGGTTGCTGTGAGCTATGCTAATGCTACCGCTCACTCTAGCCTGGGGCAACAAAGTGAGACTCTGTCTCAAAAAAAATAAAAAATAATAAAAAAAATAAAGAAGAAAGAGAAGCAAAAATATATTAAGCAAAGACATATGAAGAGAGAAAACCAATGATGAGGGTTAGATATCTTTTAGCAAATAAGCCATTTGGTACCACAGAGACTGTACATTTTTTAAGAAGTGAATCTGTGTGGTGATTGCCTGGCCTAGAAATTAGAACAAGAAGCCAGTGATGCCAATGTCCTAAATGTGATCCTCATTTTGGACTGTTTGCTTTGCATAGAGTAACATCAAATTTTAAGACCGGAGATCCCATTCTTAATCAGTCATCTTAAAATCCCAATAGCAATCATCATCTTCATGGTAATGAAGTAATAAATGCCATATTTTTAACAATTGCTATAAGCTAATTACTATCGTAATTACTTTACATAAATTATTACTTTGACCCATAATGATAATATCCAAGGCTGATATTACATTTCTCTTTTAATAGATGAGAAAATAAAGAAAGAAAATATATACTTTTCAACAGTACTTAGTTGACCTAAGCTTTGAACTTAGACTTGTCTATTCTACTATTCACTTCATGCTATGACCCACTGCTTCTGTTTCTTAAAGTAGAATATAGTAGTTGACCTTGTAACTTTCCCAGTGCTGCGGCAAACAAACAACCAAACACAAACTCTAGAGCATGTCCTCACACAGTGTGGTGTCTTCATATTCCTATATGAAGAATAACGCATTTTCCCCTATTTTCTTCTTAGTATATACTGATAACTATACAGTTTTGCAACTGGCCAAATACACAATTTACCTCTCATTTCTTTAAAAAAGTATCACTTGGCTAGGCAAATTACAGTGAAAGACATGATAAAGTACTAAGAAAAAAAAACCACTTAAGTTTCTAGGTCCAACAAAAATGATTTAGCAAACCCTAAATAGAGCACAGGGACTGAAAACACCCTCATTTCTCTGCACATGTGTTACTCATACAATATACACTGTGTGCATGGCCAGCTGGACATATAAAGTTGCAAGTCCTTCAAGAAATACTAGGAAGTCCATAAACTACAGGGATAAAATGGTTTTAAGAGAAATGAAAACAACATTTGTAAAGTCACAAGTAGAAGGAGCCCATAATAGAATTAAGGATTCATGGATATTTTTTAAAATTTAAAGTTCTGAACAATGTAATGTTTCATTATTAATTAAATGAGCAAATATTAATGGTTCACACACTATGGTGATAATTGTAAATATGGTATTAAACAAAAATAGCACAATGTTTTTTCTTCATTAAGCTTAAGGTCTAGTAGGGAAGGAAAAACAAAGGAATGCAAAATTATATGTATATAAATATGATTAGAGCTACACTATATGGATACAAATATGGCAAGTATCAACCACTAAACTAGTCATCAGTGACAGGAAGCAGAGGTCACTCAGGCACCACTTCACTAAAGAAGTGACATTTGAAATGAGATAAGTGATGCCTAGGAATTTGCTGGGCAAAGCCAAGAGGAAAGTGATAAAACCACATTTGGAAATGCAAGATGCAAGGGCAGTAGGAAGGGGAGTAGTGGTGGGAGGGAGGGCTGGTAAGGGGGGTGGATCATGGTCAGGTTGACCACCTGTAAGAACTTAGAGAAGCAAGGGAACCTTGGTATAAGAAGAGGCTGGAGAGACAGACAGGGACAACACTATGTAAGACCTTAAGGTCCAAGATAGGAATTCTGGTTTCTTCCCTGTGAGCAATATGAAACTAACATAGCATAGAAAGCAACAGTGACATTATTAGTCTTTGATATTTCTAGTATCTTCGGTGTCTCAGACATTTTCCAAACAGCAGATGCCATTAATATAATCTACCTATAGTGAGCAAACAAATAATCAAAAGTAGATATTAAAGTGGAATAAAACCAAAGGGGGTTTGAAGTAGAAATCAAGGAAAAATGTATTCACATAACTAGTCTGAATGAAAAATGTCACTGATTTTTTTTATGGTATTTTTTTTTTCTACACTTAATGCATACATGAAGTATTATTACTTTTAAATATAGGCATCAGTGCTAAAGGTGCAACAGCCTTCTTCATACTGTGAACTGTTTCCATGCATATTAAATACTCATGAAAAAATATTCTAGAATCTTTAACTAGGAGAAAAATCTTTAACTATGAAAAAAAATTCTAGAATCTTCAAATTTCTTCAGTTTTTCAGATTTTATTTGAACTTCTGCACTACAAAAACTTCTCCCATCATAATCAAGTGGAAAAGCTTATTATAATTACATTTCTCTGTAGAAAGTCTGAGAACCTGTTTCAGCTAAGTATGTTTTTTCTAAACAAGTGCTGTCAGATTTTTGATTTGGGGAGCCTATCACCTTTTTCACTGCTTTGGAAATTGAGATTTTGATCTGCAGCTTATCCTGGGTCTTAGTTAAGTCAAGATCTTTGGGCTCACTTTCTTTGTATTTTGTTTGGGCCTAGCTAAAGGTTACATTCAATCGTCGGAAGGTTGTGTCCAGTTTTCTTTTCTGAAGGGACTCTTTTATCTAGAGTGAACTCAGTTTTCTAGATTATTCAAACACAAATGGCTTGTTCTTTGTATTAAAAGTAATATATATTTCAGTCTTAGTTTTTTTGATGCTCCTTGTGAGTTTAAAATAATTTAATAGGAAAATGCTGATATGTATATGAATATCAGTGATGAAAATACAGCTATATATATTAAGATTGTACAACAGATACATTTTCAGGTAACAGATTAATATAAACCCAGATGTTTGCTTCCTCCCAGTAAGCTTAAGAACCGGAGTATAAAGCATATTTGTGGGTCATTATATTTCAGTATAGACAATATCACTTTTTATAGTAAAATACTTTAAAATTCACACTACACAGATCATTCATAGCCATAGTAACATCATATTCCCTGAGTTTATAGATGAGAAAACAGAATAAGAGAGGGTGAACTCTACTATTAATATATCTGGAACATTATCCCACATTTTCTGACTCCCCTCTCTTATGGTTTCCTTTATGATACCCTGTTATAGAGCCTCTGTTTTCAAAAATATATTTCCTGGAAACTTAGCAAAAACATGAAGAAAAACATAAAGAAAATGGAAAGCTGAAAATCTGGAGACTAATATTCTCAATGGCTACTTCAGACCGTTACAAATCATTATTTGCTATTAGACATCATGCTTTGCATTGGAGAATGAGGCCTGCAGATAACATTAGCCAATGCAAATTAGATTACTCCCTTGCTGCTCTCACTTATTAAATGTACAACAGATGACTTCATATTTTCATTATTGGGAAATGGGCTTGTTAGAATTTCTGGCTCATATCATCACATATATTACATGTCATGACAAAAAACTCATTCAATATCCATTTGCAAAAGTCTTCCACAGAATCAGAACTATGAAATCTAAATCAACTTTGAATAATCTCTGTTATTAATCCCTAAGACTGTAGGAATCAATAACAATTAAAAAGTAAAGAAAAATTACCTGCTCCTCTGGTGTGATTAAAATCTCCTTTAATGATTTTGCATGATTTTCCATTGCCATTGCATATACCACAATGATCTTCCCTTGCAAGGGACCCTAAGAAACCATCACAGCCAACTTTCTGAAACCAGAGAATGACAGCACATAATAAATTGAAGATTTTTTTTCTTTTTTTCTACTACTGATTCAGGATAAACCTAGTCCCTATAAACTAGACATGTTTAATAGACAGACTTGTAAACTATTATATTCTCTGGTACAAACTAATACAGCAAGCTCATGTCAAATAGTATAATCTGTGAAATGACCAATAGCAAGATAGCAATGAGTATTTTCCATACAGTAAGTATTTAATGGTATCTTAAAGTAATTTGGAAAAAATATTATTGAGACAAATGCAATTTACTAAAATCCAAAGGAAATCATATTTCTATTAAATATAATATGATTAATTTAATTCATTCTACTGATCACAGAACAGATATGCTTCACTATATGGATGGCTTCACTTTTAAAAGTAAATATTAAATATCAACTTTATGAAAAACTCAATATAGATGTTTATTTTCTACAGTTCAAGAATAAACTTCAGTTTATCGTATTACCATTTTCTTTGGCACATAGCACATGAATGTAAGTAAGAACTCCTCCTAGCCCGTGGCTGCTATAAGAAAATACGAACAGTTGGGGAATTAATTTTTATATGCTCCCAGAAGAATTTTCTTAATATGAATCTTCTAGACCGAATCAATTACCTCTTTTCTTGTAAATAATATTTGCTTCCCATCAATGCTCAAGAAAGATCATATTTTTCAAAGTTCTACATGCTGAAAGGCAGAATTTGTATGTCAATATTATCAAAAATAAACACTAGGAATGTGCATTTCTCCTAATCAGGAAGGAAGGATTTGGAAAAGAGACCATGGATATATCCATTTATAAAAAGTTCCCATTATTTCCGAGGAAATTTTAAAACTATTAAATAAAACAGAAACAAAAACAGGGCTGTTGTAACTGGTTTGGTGGTGCCGGGGCGGGAAGCGAGCAGACCGCAAGACACAGCTGCAGGATGAGTGTCCTGGGAGAGGAAAAGCCATAAGAAAACTGCATGATGCAGCCTCCGTTCCTTTTCAAGGGGGCCTGTCAGTGTCAACAGGTACAAAGTTTAGCTCAGAACCATGTCAGAACATATGTCAGAACACACGTCAAAGCTTATTTGGAGAGAAATAAAGCGGATGTCTCTGGATGAAAGAAATGGCCATCACAGGAAATGCTCAAAGGCAGCCAAGTCTGTGACAGGGCCATTAAGCCGGAGCCAGACTTGGAAGTCTTGGGTTGAGAAAAAGTTTTTCCTTCATGTACAAATGAGGAAAAATTTAGAGTAGAGCTTAGCGTGATTTTGAGGTGATAAAATTGATTTTATTGCTCTATCCCTGGTACCCAGATTGTTTCTTGGTAAATAGCAAGAGTACAATAAATAGTAGTTCAGTGATTGGCCAGGTTAGTATTCAGTAGTATCTTAGTATTTTTCTAACTCTATAACTTGAATATTACAAGGTTTGCAAACCTAAAGCAAATGTTAGGGATAGACATAGATATAAGAATTCAATAATCACATTTTTTAAAGATTTTGTATTGTATAATTGGCAGTTTCAAGTATCTGCATATATCAAAATATGGCCACATAAATCCAAAAGTGGAGGATAAATTACTTTGAAAAGGCCATGCCATTTAGCTGGTGGCAGGGCCCTGAGGTAGCACTGGCATGCCAGAGACGGGGAGTGGCGTCATCAGACAGGGTCAAGCCCTCCTTGTCCTTTTCATGAACAGAGACTTCACAGAACCAGATGCGGCCACCGCAGTAAGCTGTTTTTAATCGCCAAGTCTGGAATTCTATATTCAGCTTTAGTGCTACATATTGTGTGATAAAATAAAACACTTTAGACAAACCCCTGATTTACAGAGGGTTTTCAGAAAGAATAAAAGAGGCACGTTATAAATTATATCAAAAGACTAAGTAAAGCATTTTAACTAAAAAGCCAGAATCTTGAAGTGTTCTAATGGCATTAGAAGTCACAGTCTCTTTCTGTGAATTCTAATTTAATTATAATCATCATGTTAACATAGCATTTGCATAGAATTTCCTGTTATTGCTATAATTTTAATATCTAGCTGAGGACTCTGTAAAAGATTTGGCTTACATAGTACTGTTAAGTAAAAAGCATAGAAATTTAGGCTATTTGGCATGTAATATGGAAAATAATTTTTTGAAAAATAAACTTATTTAAGGCATATAGTAATCTAACAGATTTGCATATAATGAGATAAAGTTAAAAGCTTTACTTGCACAATAAATAGTCCTAAAAACAAAATATGTATAGGTAAGAAGTTAAGATGATTTTTTACAGGTAAATGAATAATCATATTTTAGTTACTGCCATATTCTGTTAAAAAATAAAGAATATTAACATGTAATCATAAGATTGCTTTTTATGCCAATGGTTTTACATGAGTCTATGCTTGAAACTCTAAGCATGCTGGCAAAATATATCCTCTTAGAGCTGGGAAAGCATTTAAGCTTCATGTTAATCCCAACTTTTTAACCAGAAGTCCACATACCTCGATTGGACAATAGATTATTCCATCCACAGTTTGTAATTGTTTTCAAACTTTGGCGTGTGTACATGTATGTGTATGTGTGTGTGTTCAAGTGCGTATTTTTCTAGGGCAAAATTTCTTTGTAAAATTCTCAAAGGAGGCCAGGGACAGTGGCTCACACCTGTAATCCCAGCACTTTGGGAGGCCAAGATAGGAGGATCACTTGAGGGTAGAAGCTCAAGACTACCTGGGCAATATAGCGAGATCCCATCTCTACAAAAAATATAAAAAATTAGCCAGGATTGGTGGCACACGCCCGTAGTCCTAGCTACTCAGGAGGCTGAGGAAGGAGGATGGGTTGAACCCAGGAGCTCAAGGCTACAGTGAGCTATGATTGTGCTACTGTACTCCAGCCTGGAAGACACAGTGAGACCCTGTCTCAACAAACAAACAAACAAAATAAAACAAAAGACAAATTCTCAAAGGAGTGTACATAGCACAAAGTCAATGACCATTGGTTATCAGCCTTATTTCACAGATTAGTTAATGCATATTCATATTGAATATATTTTAAGTGATTTGCCCCCAAACACATTTTACTAATGGCTGTCATGGATTCAGTGCTGCCCCACTCAACAACCTTTCATTGCTAATGGCTTTATTTCTCTCCTGCTTCTGGGAATATAATCAGAAAAGAAAACGGCCTTTCCCAAGGTCATTTCCACTTCTGGGGAGCTTGTATCCAAACACTAGTAGATGCTGGGGATAAAAAGGCCTGGTATTCTTGCCTTACAAGATGACAATTCTGAAGACCCAAATCAGCTTGGAACTTCCCACAGGGACAGCTAAGGCCTTGTGCAGCCCAATTTCTCCCCGTGCTCAATCCTGCTTCCTTCCCCTCCCTACCTGGATGCAGATGTGAAAGCATTCAGCATTCAACTTCCTGCATATTAATCTTCCAGGGGAAGACAACTTAAGACAGTAGCAGAACTATGGCTAACAACTTCTAAGTTCTGGCCTTTGTATCTTTCCACTATTCTCCTCATACTCACTTTAACAGAAATTTAATTTTTCTAAAGAGGGATAAAGGAGAGCACATGAATCCATGTAAATTGAAAATATTTTTAAAAGGAATAGAAATGCAAATAAGATGTTTAAGTATTATAAGAAAGTAGAATATGCATTTGAAATCATTTAAGTATGTTGATAATACTTGAATATGAGTAATAAGACTGATTTTATAGGTTGTTGCCTCATTTCAGTCTTGGACACAAAACATGGAGAACTAGAGAGCTCGAATTTTTGGTCTGGAATGTTTTGAAATAAAATGCTCAGAGCATTACAATTTTAGATCTGCAATATATATGTTACACAATTAAAATCTCAGATTCTTTCAGCTAGGATTTTATGGATTACCTAGACTAAACCTGTCATACAGATGAAGAAATGGAGTTTCAAAATAGATCAGACTTTCTCAAGGTTACAGTCAAAGTAGGACTATACCCACATATTTTGAATCTTAATCTAAAGCTTTCCACTATGCAGTAAACTTGCTCATTGGGCCCACAATCCTCCATCAACATAAAAATTTTTCCTTTCGGAATGTCTTACCTGGCATCTCCCATTTGCACAGATATCTAACCCCTGATATCCACAAGAAGTTCCATCCATCACTTTTTCTGATAAAAGAACAGGTTGTTCTTTTCCAACAGGAGAGCAAAACAAGGCACATGGTTTTTCTACATATAGAGTAGATAAGAAGAAATGTGAAAAAAAGTTACTTCTTTAATATTTTTATCTTAAGCTTTATTTTTTCAGAAAGTTTACTGAGCAAAAATATAATTCAATGCTACTTGAGTACTATAATATTAGAGAAAGATTATTGTAACAAATCAGATACCTGGAAAAATAATAGGTACCCAATAAATATTAATCACTTCCTTAGAAATCTGGCTTCATATTATTGTCAAAATGTATTAGTTATTATTTTCTGGCACAAAACTTCTATCACACACAAGCCAATCATTCTTCCTGAAAAATATTTTACACACTCCAATTATTTGCTCAGATCTTTTGAAATGATCTCTATTTTAAGTACGTACCAGAATTCTACCTAATTTTAAGTTCTAGTTAAGATTTATAATACTTTATCTATGTAATCTTCCTTGATGTCTTATTTCTAAATATCAATACACTAAATGTATTTGCATTTTCTAATTGAAAAATTACTAAAGGGAGAAAGAACCTCTAAGATGAGCAAATTCCGTAAGATTTTCCATTACTAGGATGTTTAGAAATGCAATCCAATCCCATGAGAATATCCATCGTTCTATGCAATTGCTGATGTGCTGGTGAGGACTCAACTTCCTTCAGTATTTACTCAGAGAGCACATCAGTGTATGTGATGTCTAGGTTTAGAAACATCATTCCATCTAAAGAAGTCTTGAATGGCTGGCAATCTTCTTCAGTGCCTCATTGAGCAACAAGGTAGGGTTGTTGAGGTTAAAATGCCTCTTAAGCTCAAAAAGTGGCAAGATATTTTTAAAGCGGTGTTTCTATTTCTAAGCCTTCTACAGAGGAGCTGCAGTATTTGGTAACACCAATAGTACAATTATCCAAATCTGAAACGTCAGAGCTATTTCCGTGCTACGTTACTACTCTACTGGCTTGACACCAGTCAAGCCCTTTACTGTTTATTAAGCTTGTATAAATAGAATGGAAAATAGTTTACAGTCTCTGACACTGATCTTCCCTTATGTCTTCAGTAAAGTTCCACGTATGCTGATGGGATTCTATAAATACCAAATAACAGCCAGAAGCATGGAACAGGGTATCACTTTGCAAAGAGAAGACAGACAGTTAAATGAGCCTTCAGAATTGAACATTTTGAACAGTTTTCACATGTGGCTTCTGAATACTGCTCTGAACAATTTTGAGGAGTTGGAACATGGCCTTCAATCTGCATGGTTTTGAAATTTTCCTTTAAGATGCCATTATAAGCTGCAATAAAGCATTTCAGTGTGCTCTCACACCTCAAAGTAGGTTATGTTTATACAATGACTGCTTACTAGGTCATATCTTTGGACTTAAAAACAGCTGCTATAATTGTAACACTTTAAAAGTGGTATGTATAATTCTCTTTCTGGAGTTTTCATTGAAGAGAACAGCAAATCAGATATATGGATAATGTTGAAAGGAGTTAGTCTCCTAGAAAATTCCATACACATTCCAAGCAAGAATTCAGATAAAAATTTTTCTATTTCTCCTTTTATAACATATAGCCAATGTACTCTGCTTACTTTAGCTTTACAGATGACGTAACATTTGATACCCGTCTTCCTTCCTGGAGCATGTCCTTGAGACTGTGACACTGTAGTGATCCATGTAACATGCCATACTTGGCAGACAGGCTCTGTCTTGATTTAAGAGGCTAACCCTTTCCAAGATATGCATTAGACATGGATTTCAGCCAAATTTCAGCACACGCAGAGCATATGAAACACCTGAATGTTGAAGCCATACATCTCTTTTGTCTAAAAATAAACATTCACTACTGCATCGATAGTCTATATTTAATTCTCCTAGACATGGAATAACAGATATAGCTACTTGCATTTTAAGATATCATATGCTATTAAGATTTGAGATTTTTTTTAAAAAATCATATATTTTAATTTCTTTTACAGTGCTATAATACAAGCAGGCTAGTTGGATAGTTTATTCATCATATGGACTGATGAGTCAGATTGATAAGTGCTGCACAATTATGAAAAAATGATAAGTTGCTAATTATATAAAAAGGTATTATGGATCATTTCCATGATAAACCTCACTTTCTAAGAGTCAGAACCTTTTCTAATAGTGATTTACAATAGCTTTAATGTTCTAAATTGATGCCCATCCAACTCTGATTTTCTTTTAATCTGGAGAAAATCTGTTTTCTATCTCTTATTTCACATACGAGTAAATAGGTTTCAAATGAATTTAACATTATTAAATCTTATGGCCAGTTAGAAGTAGAGACAGATTTAACACTCACATAATCAGATGATGATATTTATGATGTGAATGGTCATACTGAGTATATTGTTATAATAAAAGGATATTGGTTATGTATTCAGATTTATTTAGCAAATCTTCATCAGAAGCTTAATACACACCAGATGGTCCATGAGGAACAGATATTAGAGGGAATATAGACACATTAAAATGTACTATTACAGGGTGCTTGCAGGGTACTTAGAAGGGGCACATACTCAATTTGGAGGATCAGGGGAGTTGTTTTTTCCTAGAGGAATTGAGTCAAAAAATCAGTAGAAGTTTTCAAAGTAAATAAATAGGGAGAGAGATCAAAAGCTTGAGAAGGAAAATGTGTTATGAAACCAGCTGGTATAGGGCTCAGACAGAAGACAGTAGGTGTGTCTGAGAAGTAGAATGGAAGTCGGCCTGAGCCTCCAGGAGGCCACAAAGTGGAACAAGAGAGATGAGGCAGGAGAAGTTAAAGAGGACAGGGCAAAACCCGCCCTTATAAGCCAGGTAATCATGTTTGTGTGACTGAAAGGTTAGTGCTACTTTCCCTGAGATGGAGACACTCAAGAAGATCGAATGGACACAAACAGGAAGGGTTCAGATTATGAGTTTGGTCTTAAATTTGCAGATATCCAAGTAGCTGTATCAAGCAGGCAGTTGTACATATGAGTTTGGAATTCAAATGAAAAATCTGGCTGAAGACATAAATTCATGAGTTACTTGCATATTTGAAGTCATGGGAGTACATGAGATCACCTAAGAAGAAAACATAGAGTGAAAAAAGAATAGCATCTGGGATAGGCAGAAGAATGTGCCAGAGACGTGGTAGGAGAACCAGGTCTTTGTTGGAACATGGAAACCCAGGCACACATGTGTTTCAAGAACCATAGGGTGGTTAATTGTGTGTATTGAGGGGCATGTAAGAAGAGGATGTGAAGCTATTCATGCAGTTTAGTTTCCATGAGGCATCTTGATGACAGTAAGGAGATTTGTATTGGTGGACTCCATCCTGAAGGGAAGGAAACAAAGTGCTGGGAAGCAGTAGCTCTTTGGAGAAGGGTGGACCTGAGGACAGAAAGGTATGAAGGCACCAGTTCAAGGTGGCTGCGGGCTCTAGGGAAAGTCTGTATGTTTTAGTGGAAGAGTCCTAAGTACTCTTTTGAAGAGTCAAAAATCCAGTGTTGATTATCCAAAACGGAAGAGATGAAATATACAAGCGAAAGTACGGATAACCAGTAAAATATCTGAAAAGGGAAGACAGGGATAGCATCCAGGGCACAGGTGGAGGGACTGGCCTTTGGAAAGGAGGAACTAAAATTTTGCTACAGTGGAAAGCATGTGGAGTGTCTTCAGTCAGGCTTAAATGTTTGAAAGCAGGAAGATAAGGAGGTAATTATCTGATGGCTGCCATTTTCCCCCCACAAGTAGGGGAATAATCTGCCCTATTGTTTGGCTGCTTCCATTACTGCTTGTATGCACATGCTACTCTGAGAAAATGGTGTTATCAGATGGGTGCAGTGAAAACGAGAAGTAAAGGAGTCTGGATTATTGACCGGAGTGTTATCAGAATAATGGAAAGCACAGTCCAAATTGACTATGGGGAGAAATAAACAAAGAAGAGACTGGCAGCATCATGGTCAATGAACTCAGAGAACCTATAGCCATTTTCGGTAACTGCAACTCAAACCCACAGCCCACCCACCATGGGCAAGTATTATCGCTTTGAACTAATAAGGCAGCATATAATTTTCTTAAAATTCTTATTTTGAAGTAAAGATTTACAGGAAGTTGCAAAAATAGTAAAGACAGGTCCCACTTACCTTTCCCTCAGTTTCCCCCATGGTGACACCTTAGTAACTATAGTACAATCGAAAACCCAGGAAACCTGCACTGGCACATGTATGTATAGTTCTATGCCATTTTATCACATATGTAGACTTGTGTAACCACTATGGCAGTCAAGACATTAAATCATTCCATCAGCACAAAGATCTTCCTCATTCTACCCCTTTATAGTAATACCTATCCTACCACCATCCATAACCCCTGGAGATCACTAATTCATTTTTCATCTCTGTAATTTTGTCATTTTAAGAATGTTACCAAAGGGAATCATACAACATGTGACCTCTTGAGGTTGGCGTTTCTCACTCAGCATAATGTTGAGATCCATCAAATTATGGCCTGTATCAACAGTTTGCTACTTTTTATTAATGAGTAGTATTCCATCAGTCAAAAGTTCAATTTCCACATTGTGTATTAAGTTCATTTTTGGTTATTTAACACGTTGACTCACCCACAAGAAAAAAACATTTTTTTTCCTTGCAGCCATGGTATTTTATTATGAAAATAGAATAAAAACTTCAAAACCAAAACAATCCTTTCTAATATAATGAAAAATTTGTTATTTTTTATTATTTTCTGTGCATGAGTTATATGCAATTTGAAAAATAGTTCTCATGGCTCCCAAGGTGAAGAGACATTGTATATGCTTCATAAGGTCCTGGGTTCAAAACTAGCATGAGTTAAATATAACTCACATGGCAGTTAATGTGTTAAGGAACTGAAAAACTATTTTCAAAGTGGCTGTACAATTTTATATTCCCACCACCAATGTCTGAGAGATCTAGTTCCTCATCAGTATTTGGTGTTATCACTACTTTTTATTTTAGTTGTGTTAGTATTATTTCATATTCTAAAATGTATTTTTGTCAGTGTTTATGGTTGTTAGATGTAAATAAAGGTAGAAAAAAATAAAGTTCAGAAATATCTGGAAGATACTCTGTAAAATAACTTTAGTATTAAACAGACACTTTGCAAACTTGAAAGCATACTTAAGATAGTGGTGATCTGGTTGGTCATACCTTCATCCAAGACAGCTTGCCACTGAAGTACATGCTTTGGATGTGAAGTTCTAACACTATAGACCTGACATTGCCAGTCTCTGAATCCAAGCAAACCTGCAGGACAAGGTGGATTCTCACATATTCTGTATTGTTTTCTGGGACCATTACAATCCCTTGCCTCAGAACCTAGCCTAGAAAAGAGTACAAATAATCAATTTTATCTTTGCTTTTCACATTAACTACCCATTTTAAAATAAAAATTATTATTAATGTATAATCCTTTATGTTCAATCTACTGTTGAAAACTAGAATGCATTAAATGATTGGTAGTCGTGTAAAATCCACGTTTGTTTTGTAAAAAACCATATATTTTTTCCAATCCTTGATCAATTTACCTTCCAAAACACATGAGGAATAAATGCCAAAATGATATAAAGGAGTAAAGGGAAGAGGCTGGGGACAATAGAGAAAGCCTTCCAATTCCCAAGAAGAAGTTTGGTTCTTTATATTATTAAGGAAATATTTTCATATAAATTCTTTAAACTGCATGTGATGGGACCATGCCACGAGCTCACACCCACAGAGGCACAGCACACAGGCGGAGGGACCTTCCCACACTTTCCTAGAATCCCTTCAGGAAGGGTGGGATTGACAAGCTGATCTTGTAATAATCTCTATCTGTGCGTGCGCTTCACATGTTGTTTTTTATTAGTCTGAGCTTTCTTTGCCATTAATTTTGTTCTCATTCCCATCCTTTCTAAAGTCCTATTATCTTCTGCTCTTCTCACAGTTGCTTTAAATGTTCACTTAGTTTTTATGATATACATCTCCCTGATTATTTAAATACATTTCATCTGATTGACTCAAGAAATCACCTTTTGTACCTTCCATTATTTATTCTTAGAAAGACTGATCTTTGTTTTCTTCTTAAAGACAGGTTTTATATAAAAATAAATAATTTGAGGAAATTTCCTGTTTTCCAAAGTGGAGTAGAGTTTGAGGGGCTTCTTTTGCTTCCCAACATGCTTTACCAGAAAAACCTTTGCATTTCAAATATTGAAGGAAAAAAATGCCCTCCCCCAACCCAGGAACTTTGAATTTACCCAGGACATTTGCGCTCTCGACTGCTGATCCCAGAACCGCAAGTTCGGCTGCAGGGACTCCACAGGCTCCACTCTCCAGCCAGGTGTTCAGGTGCTGAGGTCCTGCTGGTGCACTCTCCAGCCTTACACCACTATTCCAAAAGTTATGTCTTAGGTGAACAAATCAGGGCACAACTGAAAATCATTCACTGGTCTATGTAGTCACTGGAATTGCAGTTAAATCAAGTCTACTAGAGCCCCAAACACATAGAATTTAAAAAGATCAAAAATAAGTTGGCACTTGTTTTTTGTCAAAGTGATATAATGGTCCAGTTCTCATAGTGCTCATGTCAGACCGATCACACACAGCCTTGTCATGAAAGCAATGCACAGATATTTGCTGCTATAGCCCTGAGAACTGAGCACGTGTAGTAGAGATTGGGTAAAGATGATGGTGAGGGAATTTGAGGTTGCACAACCAGAAAAGAAAAACTAACACATTCTAAGAAACAGATAATAATTTAAAAGGGACCAAAACAGTACTGAGTCATATATAAGAATGGAAAACAAGAGATAAATGTACTTCTGTAACAAGGTCAAGCAGAAACTGTAGCAAATGTAGCAATGTTGCTTTCAAATATCAGTGATTCAGATCACTTTTTTCCCTTATAATTAAAAAAAGTATGATTTAATCTTAGTACTTCCCTTTATCCTATTTTTATTTTGGAATGTGTTCCCATCATGTTCAACCATTAATATGACAGCAAGCTTTCCTCTGAAAGCCGTTTGCTTGAAAGATTTGGGCAATTAGATGCTGAAACTGTCATTTCCCCCCAATTATTCTCTAGCTTATTTGATATCTATTAACTGCAAAAGATAACTGCGAAAGATAACTGGGAAAGATAACTGGGAAAGGAAAGAAAGGAGTGTAAAGGGTATAGTCATTATCTTTTTAAATGTTTTTTTTTTTTTCCCCATTAACTTAAAACAAAAGCTGCGAAACTGTTTCTATGGTCAAGCAGGAATGACTGCTGGGCTCAGTAGACGGACCGCCATAAACTCTCCTCACTCTAAAAATCGGATAGGCGATGTCATAGCAAACGTATTTAAGGTAAGAAAATCATGTTGAGAATAATAAGTAAATACAGGAACATTTAGATTAGTGATTATATAATAACAGACTTGAACAAGTTGATCCTTCTAGCCCTAAACAATTTTCTGAGTTTAATGGCAACATGATTTAAAAATGATTTTGAGGCAACTACAGAAATGCTCTGAAAACTCAGTTCGCTCATTCCGAAACGAGAATGATAATCATATATACTTAATAGACTTTCAGCAGGGGTTGAATGAAGAACTAAGCACAATTTATAGAGCATACTAAGGATTTAATAGAGATTAATTATAATAATAACAACACATTATTATATGTATCATTATATTAGTGTTATTAATAATAGTTTTCAGAAATTTAGCCAAAATTCCATTAATTCTGATCTTTATTGATCTATCTTTATTTATAATTTGTTGTCACAATATGTTTTTATTGTAGTTAGAAAAGAGAATTAGAAGAGTATGCTATATAGTTTGTTTGAGCCCAGTTACTGCTTTGATTTTATATGCAATAAAATAATTAGTCCCTATAGATTTTTTCTAATAATGTCAACATTGAAATTCAACCTCTTTTAAATTCAAGAGTTTTAAATTTAAGTTTGAAAGACAAAGTTAACCTCAACAACTCAAGAGTGTATCAGTATGCTGATATAGTCATTAAATAAACTGAGATTTTTGTACAAGGATGTAGTCTAAAAATTGAAAACTAAGGAAAAAAGCTTGTGAAAACTTTTATATCACTTGTTTTAAGGTCTTAACAATGTTATGCCATTCATGGAAAAAAAATCCAATGGGAAAGCTATTAAACTTCAATTGGTCACATTGTTTTGGCCTACCTGAAAAGTGTTTATTTTTCCCAGAGCGTATATCATAGCTATTGCCCATTTAGCAACAAGCTGGCACTGAAAAGCAGGGCTAGAGTTCATAGCAGACTAAAAATATTCTGGGATTGGCACGCAATCTGTACATCATTTAAACTAAATCACACCTGGCAGATGAAAAGAAATGGAAACAGATATGCAAGCCAATTTGCATACAGAAATAGTGAAATTTAAAGAAAGTATAGCATAATATTTAAAGTTTGTAATTTTGCAGATAACTAAATCTCTGGATGAAACTGAAGGATCCTGCTTTTGTGTCTTCTAGATGGTGTTATGCCTCAACATTGAGGAAAGTGTTAAATGCTTTGTTTAAATCAAAATACAATACATTTTATTGGAATCATATACAAAATGATTTGCTAGCAGTATGCTTTGTTCCTTACATTTATATTTTTTAATCCTACAAAAAGACATTACACATGATTTAAAACACTCAAAATTTGTGTCTTATCTACTAGTTCAGTCTGAATTATAAAAATGCCAAAGGAAGATATAATATAGACTTATTTCTAGAAAAGTATCTGACCTAAAAAAAAAACTGATTACATTTCTATTCTTCCAAATTTTTATGTGGATACGTCTAGGAAGTTCGTGAAAACACACGAATAAAACAGATCCGTGAAGACGTAAAGGAAGCCTGACCAAATCTCTGACATGATCGTGCATGCACATTGTGGAAGACTGAAGAAGAGCAAGGGAGGCAGGAAGCTCTGCACACATGCACACATATGACTATTAGGATATTACAGTCTTCACTATTTCCAATAATGAATTATGATGATAATTTCAAGAACCTCAATTTAGGAAAGTAAACAACTAAAATATATTACATAGAAACCTTAGTTCTAAACAGTCTAAAATTCTACTAAATTGGCATTTAACTTTCCTTTCCCCTTTTCCTATTTCTATCAAATACTGTATATACAAAACAAATACATTTATTGCTTTTTAGTAAATCATTCACCAACTCTCTAAACTCTGTGAAATATAAACACATTTATATTTGTATTATAAATCATTATGATTTATATTTTACAAAAATGACAATATGAAAAGAAAAGCTGAAGAAAGAAAACAGAAAATATTGTTTATATTGTAAATAGTGTATAAATCTCTGTCCTCACAATCATTTGAATCATAGAATTCTGTAGGCACTTTCTCAGACTTGACTACATACTCTTAGATGAACTGGATTTATACAGCTCGATTATTAGTACTAGAGTGTTATAAATTACAAAATCCCAAGCTTTGTTTCTTGGTTCGCAATGTACCAAGCCAAGAGTTTTTAGTACAAGGTTGCAAGCATTCATATATTTTAGCACCAGCGTGCACACAACAAAAGAATGTTGGAAGCTATTTTAACGATGGCTTCTACAACAGCTGGGACAGATGGGTATTTGATGGAACCCACATGACCTGAAAAACTGAGAGGTTCATCAGTTATTTCAATATACAAATCACTATAGAACCTTTAAAAGAATATCATTAATATGATTATAGGGAAATAAGTCATTTTACTTTTGATAGTATTTACAGTTTTGATTGCTGGAAAGAAATTTATTTTAGAGATCTCAAGAATACAAATTATTCAGTTAAATATGTGTAGGAAAAAATCATAGTATAAAATATTTAGAATGCCATATCATAAGAATGAAGAGATTTTATAATTGCTAAAGAAGAACTAAATAACATGAATCGATTGTGTGATGTTTGAGAACTTAGGGCAGAACATTTAGCTATCTCTGAGTATCACTGCTTTTGTGTTTTAGGGATGATGAAAATTATTGCTGGTACACAGTTTTAAGACTCAAGCAATAAATTACTCAGCATAAGATCATGAGGTTTGCTGGATATATACACATTATTATGCTTTTGTATCTAATTTTAAAAAATAAAACAGACTAAAATTCCGATGCTCCATTTAAGTTCATAGAAAAATGTGTGGCACAATCTATACACAACTGCCTGATAGTTCACAGAAGTTCCCTCTAAAGAACCATTTTCTTATTAATAGTGTAAAATGATAAAATATTTCTAGTCTTCTTTTTTATACTTTGGATTTAAACAACTCGTACATTTTTCTTTTTATAAATAAACAAGTCACAGAAGCAATAAATGACTGCATGCTTATGTCAAACAATCCAGAAATGTCTGCAGAAAAGCTACATTTACTCTCCCCTCCCATTGCCTTACTTCCATTCATCAATTTTGCTTCCCTCCCAAAAGGTAACTACTAATAACAGTTTTGAGTTTATATTTTCAAACCATATTCTTTGAGTTTAAAAATATGTACTATGTATGTTTTTATTCTCCTTAAATTTCAAATGTATTATAAAGTATTAATTTTTCTGACATGGTTATGTACGAACAGCCATGTCTTGTAAATCTCCTCATGTTAATACATATATATCTTTTTTCATAGCTATACTAATCATTCCTCTCCTGATGAATATTTTGTTGTTTCTCATTTATTACCATTGCAAACCACATCCTTACATTAGCATCTTTGTATGTGTGTGTGAATGTGATTGTGTGTATCTGTGTGTAGAACAATTTTCTAGAAGTGCATTTGCTAGATTTCCATCCATTTTTCAAATTGCTGTGTTTTTAAACTAACATTTCACATATTTTTCCTTAAGTAATTCACCTCAAGTAATCTGTAGATTCTTTATGTTACTGTTTATTTTCATATGTAATAAACATCAATGCTCTTTAGAGGCAAGCTTTCAGATCATCTTATCATACAATTAATAAGTAAAGTGATAACCATTCTACTTTCTCTATATAGTATACAAATTAGGAAATTATGCAAACTATTGACCTGGTATCTTTTAATTAAATTAACCATAACTGTAAGTACGGATGAGATCCATCTACTTAAAATTCCTCAAAGGAAAATTAATTTCCAACAGCAATTATTTTCATTCAGAAGTGTATACTAATGAATTTGTACTCTTATGAACCACAGTACATTAAACTACACAGACAACCAAATATTTACTAATTTCCAAATTTATGATGCTTACATTGACAAGGTAAAATTATAGATACTCAGTTGCTCTCCTGAGACAGTATTTTATACCTAAAAGGATTTATCAGCTCTGAGAAATGTTATCATTTATGCTATTATTTGTGCTTATTTTACTTTTGTTTAATTTAAAAATTAAAAATAAATAAATTCAGTTTTTTGTTAAAGTAATAATGTATCTGACTCTCTACATTATCATAATCAACAACAACTTAAAAACCACCACATCAATATTAACAAAACAACCATGGATTTGAAAAATATAAAAGTTAGAAATGGATGAAATGCTAATATTTATGTATATACTGAAATTATTCCATCAGTGTTAAAAATGGATCCATATGTAACTGGCAAAAGAAAATGAAATTTTTTCAAAATGTATTTAGTATTCTTATTAAATTCAGGTGATACAAAAGACTTACCTTACCAAGGTCACAATCAGTTCCATCCATTGGTGGATCTAGTTTGGTTTTGCATTCTTTCTCACCTTCTACCTTGCACCATAATCCTGTGCAAATAACGTGCTGAAAAGAAGGGCACAATAGCCAATAAGGGGAAGGTGTCACATTTTCAAGGTTAAGCCAATAATTTCTGAGAGAGCTATTTTGAAAGAATAACAAAGAAAAATATGCTTTAGGTACTTTTAATATTAATCATATAATTGAAATAGTATATGGCTTACTTATAGTGAGGGGAAGATTGATACATAACAATAGAAAATCTAATAAAGTTATTTTTAAAAACTTATTAAAATAAAACACATATGGCTATGCAGGATTATGTAGATACAACAGAAAAATTTAAAGCAAAAAACCATTATATATGCCATGATATAAAGCAGGTGGAGTACAAGTGTCCGTGTCTGTGGCATGAACGCAGGGCCCTGCCCTGCAGCCTGTCCTCACTCATCCTCTGCTCTATGCTAAAAGGCCATGCTTAGTGCTGTCTTGTTTCATCGTGTGGTCTTGACACCTGACACAGTACAGATCTGTGGAGTGTATGTTTCTGTAAATTGTTATCGGTAATTTATACTTCAGTATCAGTGAGTTTTAGATATTCAACGTATGATCAAATTTGGGGGAGCATGGAATGTTAAGGCAATAAAAAATGCTTGGATGAAGCAGCTGAGACATCATAACAATAAGAGAAGGGAAGTCTGAGAAAATGCAAGAGGGAAGATTGTCAAAAACCTTAGCCACAGCTATAACTGTGGCCAGCCCAAAGACATAGATACGAAGAGGCCAACTGACACATTTGTAAGACTTTCTATATCTGCAAGAAACAGGCAAAGGTTAAAGTTTTTTAGGCAGAAGCATATTGCTAACAATTGTGTAGAAATATGTAATTCATGAGGGACATTTAAAGCTGAGAAGAGTATATAATTCATAGCGACGAGGACTATGTTACTAGCTACACAGATACCTGGAGAAGAGAGTGCAGAACAGGTCCATAAAGACAGAACAGGTGTGAAAGATACACTTATGAAAAGGTGAGAAGACCAGTGTAAGGAGGAGGCCTATCATAGAAGGGAGTAGTGACGAACAACATTGAAAAGACAGGAGAACCGCCAAGGACTAAGGAGCCCATATTTGTAGGGACAAGGAATCCATTGAGCACTTGACCAGTGGCAGGTTGATAAGAGGCTATTTTGGAAAGCTTACTCTAAAACTCATAGCAAAATTAAAGCTAACTTAGGACCCACATCTATTAAATATGTTACAAAGAATAAATTTAAACTAGTATTTCAAATAGTTCTATTACAACTCTAATACTGAATTTGTCACTATTCCCAAAATATTACTTTCCTACATTTTAGATTTCTGAACTGTCTGTAAGATCTTAAAATTTAATACTCTATGGTGGGAGTGTGATACATTTTATTTACCTTATCTCTTGTGAAATTATTTGTTTTGAAATGTCACATGAATATATCTTATATTTAGCAAATGGTTTAGCATAGCAAATATGTTTTTATTTTCATATAATATTTATCAAAAATTCATCTAGAAGATAAGCAGAGGTCTGTTGTTTTTCCTGCGCTTTTATGGACACGTTTATATTTAAATTAACAGATCTCCAACCTGAGAAATTTGAACCTAAAAGGTTTTCATTCCCCTCCCCAAAGACCTTTCTGTCAAGGATGTTTTATTATCAATTCATACTGAACCCAAAAGTAAACTGTCTGCACTAATACTTGCTTGTTGAACATTGTTGGTGGTCTGACTTCTGCTCTTCCACCAGAATCTGCTATTCAGAATAGCAGGTACTCTAACTGATTCCCACCTGCAGCACTAGGAGAATAAAAGCAAACTCGGCAGCCTTTCGAGATAAGCACAGTCACGTAGAATAAACCTCACACAGAAATCTTTTACCCTTTCTGCTCTGCCGCTCTAGGGATCTTATGGTAAGTAAATTGTAGCTTCAGTCTTAAAAAAAACTCAGATTCAGGAGTTCAACCCCAAATGTTACACAAAACGCAAGAGCATGTTGAAGAAATGGTACAGAGTGTTTTCACCTTGAGAAGTGAGATAGCTCAGATGTGTGGTATTAGAGCTATGTCATACCAAGCCCTTTCTAAGGGGCAGGATGGGGAATCACATCAGAAACAAATGCTCTCCACATGTTACACGGGCAAGAGTCAGGTGTTTTTTTTTTTAATTTAGTTGCCAAAACTACTTAATATGTCAGTTAAGAAAAGAACTTTAAAATTTAAAATATTTTGCATAGGAATCCACAATACAAATGTATAACTCAGCATTTCCTCTCAAAATAATAAAAATATTACAATATTTATATTTATTCTATATAAAGAGATTATTAAAAACATAATATAAATTTGGATGGTTATCTCAGCTAGGCTTTTAAAATGTTTACATGAATGAACCATATGTTTAACACATTAACTGCCATGTATTTTTACATGTATATTTTTACTTTGCAAGCTGCAAAAGACTTTTCCATGCAACAAACACATCAGAAAGTGTTAAAGAAAGTTAAAGAGTAAAAAGAAATTAAGAGAAAGGAAATCTGTCAATATCAACTTAATGGAAGTCTTAAAGAAGTGAAAGAAAAAAAAGAAGAAAGACAGTATTTACTTTTATTAAAGAAAAATGATCCAGAATTAAGCTAAAAAGATTCCCCTTGCGGAATGGGGGATTAAGTTCTTAAACCAACCTTCTTGCAGGTAACAGCTAAAAATTGTGGACAGAATACAAAACACAATTTCCCGAAGGCTCTGGAGAGTGAAACTAGGCAGGCAAACTTTTGAGGCGAACTGAAAAAATCAGCATAAGGTGAGTCCATCACCTTTGCAGCTTTGATCTAATAGTTGCCTATGGCTGTGGCCTACACTGGGTGGCTAAAGCAACAGGGCAAAACAAACTCTCTCTCTAGATACATGAAGACAGAAACTGGGGCAGTCAAAGCTGCCAACGCCTGCGGTAATAAAATCAGTGGGACCTGATTCCCTGTTGGCACCTGGTCCATACATACATGGGACACACTATAGACAGCATAAAGGGAAAGTGAATGGATCTAAGATATGAGCTGCTGCTGCTTTGTAGTAGATGAGACAAAGTCTCGAGTTTGAATGTAATAAATTTGTCTGTGAAAACAAACAAACAAAAAATAAAAACACTCTTTGGAGTCATATAACAGAATCCAGAATCTCTACAATAGGGGTCAGCAAACTTTTTCTGTAAAGTGCCAAATAGTACATATTTTAAGCTTGTGAGCCTTATGGTCTTTGTTGCGATTTTTCAACACACAGAGAATAAATGAACAAATGAGTGTGCCTTTGTTCCCGTAAAATTTTATTTATAAAAACAGGTAGCCAGACCCCAGGCCATCCTTTGCTGATCCTTACTCTACAACATTACTTCACAATTTATTGTGTACAAATAAAAATCACTGATCTATAAAGAAGCAGTGAAATGTGACCCTTTATAAACAATAAAGTAAATAAATAGTTCAATCCTGAGATAACACATACATTATAATTTGCACAAAATTTAAAACCAGCTTCATGAATATACTCAATGAGGTAATGGGTATTGACTTGTAATAAACGAAAAGATAAGATATCTCCAGAGAGTAATAAAGTAAGTGGAAATGTTCATTTTATATGTGAAATATAAAATACATGAAATAAAAAATTTACTGGATGGGCTTAATAGCAGAATGAAGATAAAAGTTCAGTAAACTTGAAAATAGATCAAAGGAAATTATCTAATCTGAAAGAAGAGATGATACAAAAATAATTAAGAGCTACAGAAACTGGTGGGATCACATCAAATGGTCTAACATATGTAATTAGATTTGCAGAAGAGGAGAAGTAGAGAGGTAGAAAAGCAGTTAAATGAATGATCACTAAAACTTCTTCCCAGATTTGGTAAAAGACAAATTTACAAAGTCAAAAAGGTCAACAAACTTCTAATGGGATGAATATGCATAAAAGTATACTTTGGCACATTATAGTAAAATTTCTGAAAACCAAAGATGAAGAGAATGTCTTGTACACATACAGAGAAAAATAATAGATTACATATCGGAAAATAAAAATCCAAAGGCTATAAACATCTCTGATCATAAACCATGGAAAAAAGAAGGCAGAGGGACATGTTTGAGATGTTAAAAGAAAAAGAAAAGGTTAACATAGAATTTTATACATAGTGAAAATATACTTCAAAAATTAAGGTGATACAGGCATTTTTGGATGAAAGAAAATTCAAGGAATTTGCCACTGGCAAACCCAACTCAAATAAATGAAAAATGAAAATGGAACCAGAAATCTTCAGGAAATAATGGAGAACAATGGAACAGGTAAATATGTAGGCAAAAATTAAAGACTACCTTTTTATTCTTTATCTTTAAAATATATATAAAATATATAAAGCAAAATTTATACAATCTTATTATATTGTTTACAATGTATTAATACATAGAGGTTGTATATATGATGACCATAGCACAAAAAAACCAGAATGAGGAGATCTAAATACCTATGTGGCTTCATGTTTCTAAATTTCAAATAAAATTGTACTGTATTAACTCTAAAGAGACTGAGAAAATTAAGACTTTATATTCAAATCCCTAGAGCTAAGTTAATCAAACTATGGCCAGGAAACTGGCCAACAGTCTTTGTAAATGAAGCTTACTGGAACATGTGCATGCTCATTCACTCACACATCACCTAGGGCTGATTCGAGCCACAGCAGAGGCCCCGCTGCCTGCAAGCTTCATATATTTACTGTGTGGCTCTTGAAATGAAAGTTTGTGAGCCCACACCTAGATCCAGACCAGAGCAGACACAAACCTCTAACACAGGTAAAGAGCTGTAGCTAAAAATGTATTAGATAAATTAAAATTAAGATACTAAAAACTTGAGCTCACATGGTAGTAACATTCACTGGGTGTCAGTCAGGTAGGGAGAGGAGGGTGAACTCACGGCTAATGGATGTGGAGCTCGCTGTGTGGGGGAAGGGCGGGCTTGTAGCTCTGGCTTGGGCGAGGCAAAGGCTTTGTG